CAGCAGAGAATACACAGGCAGGCGATACACCAGCAGAGAATATGGCGGAAGCGGATAACAAACAATTGACAAAATCCCTTCCGCAAAGATCAACTTCATCATCAACCTCAAAGGGTGTAACTCAGGAACAACTTTTCCAACAACTAAAAAATTACCACAATAATAAATTGGCAGAAGTTTTCAAAAAATTTAATTGATCTCGGTAGAAAATTAGAGTTTTAAAAATAACGGAAGAGGAAACGGAGAAAAAAGTGATAGAGCTTTTTTGATTGCTAAGCGGGAAGAGCACACTTTTTGCTTAATTTTAGTTTACAAGTTTGGAAGTTTGCTTTCTCTCCTAATAGAAAAAATCGATCTGTCTTATTTCCAATGAATAAAACCATTTGCTAATTCTATATTTAGCTTAGCGCGTTTACCTGCAAGACATGCTCTAACTTCATATTGGTATTTTTTTAAAATTTAAATAAATAAAATTTTTTAAAAATTAAATGAACAAAAAAATGAAAACTATTCTTAACCAGCGTACATATTGAAATCGGTATTGTCTATTTACCAGTTTGTTTTAATCGCAATAATAGGCTACAGGAAAAGGCTTCCTTTGAAACATTCGCTAAGTCTCCTACAGAATAATAATAATTAGTTAGTTAGTTCACAATGCTTCTTCTTTTCTGTTGATATCATCAGCATTTTAAAACTCCCAGTATAAAGCTCAAAATTACTTAGTATTTAAACCATCTTCTTACCGAGTTCGAAAACTAGCCACATTGAAACCAGTCAAAACACTAAATACGGTACAGAACATTTATTTAACTTGTAAGATACTACGATATAGAACGTACACTGTATAAGATATGTACGATCCCGTAAATGATAGATATTGAAACACGATACATATTAGAAAACATATCGCTATTTCTTCCAACATTTGCGAAAGTCTCAAATCCCTTTAAAATATTGTTCAATTCGATATTTGCGTTCAACTCGAGACAATTACAAACACAATAAGCAACAATTATGCGTGTGGCTGTGAACAAAAATTTGGAATAGCTTACAAAAAGATAGTTAAAACTCATTTTCTACCTTAATAAAATTTTGCAAACCTTTTTGTAAGCATACAGAAAAGTGCTTAGAAAAATCACCTCCCTAATCTCCTCAAAATAAAATTTGTGTAAGCCATAGTAAAGCCACCTATAAGCATTACTTACAATTACAATAAAAATCAATAACAAGGATGTGAATGCAAAGTGGCGCTCGTTAATTTAAATAGTAGTAGTAATTCGCATACTTCCACTTTTTTTATACCCTAACTACTGAGAGGGGAGAGTATATTCACTTTGTCGAAACATTGGCCATTCGCAGAAGCTGCTGTGAATACCGCCTACTTAACAAACCAAATTCTTGACCGTCGTAATCAGAAGGGTTTTGAAGCAACCTGGCTCGGACGGAGACCTAATTTAAAATGTTGACGTGTTTTCCGATGCAAGGCAATAGTCATATACCAAAGGATCGAAGGCATGATACGGGTTATCTAACCTTAACATTAAAGAAATCGTTATTAACAAAGACATCATTTTCTTTGGAAAAGACAAATGGTTCAAATAAACAAAAACAACTTTTGTCAGGTTAAAAAAATATTATGAATGCGTCAATTCAGTGAAGAATATTATCTGCATTAAATCGCGATACGAGAAAATAGCGGACACCAAAAGCAGTTCAGATAAATATGAAGATATTGCTGAAGATTTTGATGGCAATGAAGGTGATAATGTGACGATTTGACGCTTCGAAAGAAGCTCAATCCGACCATAATAATCGTATATTTACGTCTTGGAATTCGCCAGCGTCCAACTGTTAAAACGGTAGCACTTGAATGATTATCATGCGAAAAAACACATTAATTTGGTGGACGAGTCAAAGAGATAACAAAAAGTAAAGATAACAACTGTAAGAACGCAAAAGTGAAATGTAAGGTGAAACCAAAACCGACCAAAACCGATCTAACCCGACAATTTGAAGTGAATCCAAAATTCTTGATCTTGAGCAAAGCATCTGCATCTTAAACAAAATATGGATTAGTACGGTTTTGATATAAACTTAAACACGAAAGGAACAAAAGGGTAAAAGAAGCTACGAAAATAAGATGGAAATTATTTTAAACTTGCAATCTTACTGAAGATATGATTATTTACAGACGCGCCAACCAAACAATTACGCTTCAGAAATTACTCTACCTTATGGATAAAATGTTTTGTTTATTTATTTTTTTTTTTAACTAAGTAATTGAAATAAAGTAACATATTGTATTGTAGAAAAGCGTTATTGGGTAAAACCGCTCCGCACCATACCATCTTATTCTGCAATATTCGTACCCATTACAAATATTTTTTAATTACTATAATCTTGATAAGAACATCTAGTACAAGTTTCATTCTGTAATATACTTTTTCCATAAAAACATTATTAATTCTTTGCCAGGGTGCTAAAATCATTCCTGCGCTTCGTCAAAGGCCAACTGCTTCGGACTTCACATACACTCACGCAATAACAGTATGAGGGCTGCAAAGATAACCAACACTCGGCAACACTGGGGCGTTCGGCTAGGATATATTTCATTGAAATGAAACGACGACGCTCAACTACGATTTGATATTTCAAACTTCTAAAAACGAAGATTGCAGAACATATCGTTTGCGTAAAAAACGTAATTTCTTAATTTTCATTTAATTTAAATATTTATTCGATATGTCTTTGATTTTCTCTCAATCTCGTCGTCACCATTAGGCCTTAAACGGAAGTTTTAATGTTCTAAAAATATGAGAAGCGAAATTTAAAAAAAAAAGAAAAAAGAAGACCATACTTTTTTACTATTTGAGGGGCAACCAAAATATGTTTTAATCGATTTTTTAAGTTGGCCTAATGGCGATGTTTTATATAATTTTCTAACTTGTTTTGATGACTATCTTTAACCGAAAAATGTGAGAATGGCGTGCTGCTCCACCGGAACCATTTCATAAACAAACATACCGATAGGTCTAAGCTAAATCAATCTATCGTTATATTGTTTATGACCATCAGCAATAGATATTCTTTAGCGGACACCGAACGCGTCTTTCCATAACTAATTTGGCTGTAATACTCGATTCGCTGGATACTAAAACACTAAAGCGAGAGTTTTGCGTATAGAAAAGACAACATTTTTCTTGAGTTATTTTTATGTATATTGTAACTAAAACTTGCTTTTTCTTGCTCATCAATTAAACAAATCCCAAAGGCATTCGAAAATATCATCACCACAATCATCGTCATTCATCTCCTTTTTTAAAACTTCGTACAACTTATTAATTCGGTCTGAATTGGATTCAATAAGTTGAATAACTTCTTCATGCACAGGATAAATATTTAGTTTTTCGAGAATTTCTAAGAATTGTTTAAATGTTAGTTTTCCCGTCGGTAATGATGAAACTAACGATGAAGTTGCCGAAATCGGTGAAGATAAGGTAGACGTTGACGAGCCCGTTCCATTTGCAGACTTGTTTGCTTTTAAAATTTGCTTCAGCCTTTCCAAACTCTCATTTTTGCTTTCCTCCAAATTGAACAACAACTTCACAGCTTCAAGTAAATCTTCAGGCGATTCTCTTTTTTCATACGATGGAATGTCCACCGTTTCGACTCTTTCTGAAATAACAAAACCAAGACAGAAATGTACATCTAAACTAAGTACCAACGTCATCAGCACTGAAGTTACAACAACTGATTTCTTCATTTTCAAAATTCTCGAATATTTTAAAGACTTGTAATATGTTAAAACTGTAAATGAGGAATTCATCGCACAACTGTTTCTTATATACGAGGTCTTTCAACTTGAATTTTTTTTTAAATTATTATTATGTTAGCTTTTTCTATTTACTCAATGAAGATAAAATGATTTATAGGAAATGCCTTCAATAATTTTTGAATATTTGTTAAATTACATGAACACAAGCAATTTTTAAAAAACTAGTTAATTTAAGTTAAGATTAGCTTGGAGTGATCGCTCAATAAACAGCGACATGAAAACACTTATGAGTGATGAAATAAATGCAATATCTGCCGACAAATATGGAATAATATCCCATCCATACGTGCTGGATATCAAGTCTTTTGACAATCGAAAATCGGAAGCTTCTAACTTGCATTTTCTTGAAATACACTCGTCACATAGATATTAATGGCAATACCACTCGTGACAAAATCTCATCTTTCAAAATGATGAAAACCCTCTGTAGCTTTAATTTACGTTACCCTGAAGACATGCTACAAACAACAAGAAATTTGCAGTTAACAACAGCGATAGAGCGTCTTTTCACTTTCTGGGTTCGCAAATGAAATCAAGTCCCAGTAAATTTTGTTCGCAATAGTTGTCAATTTCCATCTATATCAGACGCAGCGTTTACCCTGAAAAAATGTAATATAACAGATAGTCGCTCGCTCGCAGATATGCGATGCTTTACCATCTCCAGTGCTTGTTGTTTTTGTCCGTCCGAAATTTATTCACCAATCAATTTTTCGCAAATTGTCGTAAATCTTTTTCTTGCAGTGTGGCAGCTTGTGAAGCAATCTGCTCTTTTTCGAAATATGCGACTCAAACGTATAAAGAATAACGACCAAACCCCTAATTTATTCTACACAAACCACACATTATTGCGATCGTATGTTATTCTTGCTGGTACCATAGTACTCAAATCTTTTACTTACTACTCACTGTATAATCCATTACGTAAAGATGTACCTGATACCACAAACACGTAAAATGTGCAACGACAATTTGGTAGGGAACTAAAGTATGTTTGCTGTCAAAACACGATTAGAAGTGTGCAATTTGCACACAATTGGGACTTATTGGTATTTTTGCCAGTTTTTTTTTGTATCTGCGAAAAATTGGAAAAATAATCAGCTTTACAGTATTTAGAAATTGTTTAGATTTAACGTAAATTTGGTTAATGACTTGATAAATTAGAAAACATGTCCCGTAGAGAAAACACATCTATTATTTCGAAAAGACATTTGCATCCACGAAAATAGCCTTCGGGTATGGTTTGTGAGAAGAAAATATTTTTTCGTTAATATGAAAATGGCATTGGAGTTACCCTTAATGGAGAATATTGCAGAAAAATATGATTATTGATTTTCTCCTGCTCGAATTCGATCATTTCGATTTTATTCTAATAAAACATTGCAACATGCCGTACATGTCGAAAAAAGTTGAATGGCCGTGTTATGTCCAAAAAAGCTTATTTAAGCTTGCCATAGTTTCCCAGACAGTGTAAGAAACTGGCCAAAATTGCTGTTAACGAATTAAACTCCAGGCTCTCTATTATATCTAAATGTAAATGGCATGAATCCATGTCTTTATTATAAATGAAAAGGTCAGATAACGAAGATACCATTGAGTAACGAGTTCTTTTCGTAAATTAACGTCAAGAACAAATTGCGTGATCGGTAATTTCCGTCGCTAGAAGGAGCCTTCGTCGCCTTCAAAACCATGTTGTCCTAAAAAAGACTTAAAAATGCAAAAGAACTAAATTTTTAAATTCTATAATAATGAGCGCAGCTGTTATTTTCCTATTTTCAAAATAAAAATAGAAATTTATTTGTTTTTGTTATATAGACATCTAGACATTGTAGGCGTGTTCTTTGAGAAGTTTGAGTAATTTTCAAATTATTTTGTAGGCGATATATTAATTTTTGTGAAAGGGAGAATATTTACCACAGTTACTACACAGTTGCACAGACAAACAGGTGGAAACATGCGTAGACGGAGTTGTTGAGGCTCATTCCGAATTGAATTGGAACGATTTTCCCCATTCTTTTACAGATACTAGGGATCGGTCGGTAGACCATAGACCATAGACATTTTGTAGATTTATCTTCTGCAGTTTCTGAGTAATAAAAACAACCCAATGTTTTATCCCTTTTCAAATAGAGGTGTTCTTAGTTTACTTAGTACTGTAGACGTGTCCTTGAACCGATTTGGCCCACTTTCAGTACAAACCTACACACAGAAACTTGCAATGTTTCTGCCAAATTTGAACTCGATGTCTCCATTTTTGCGGTCGAGAATGTTTACGACACACATTTTACAGAATTGGTCAGACGGACATGTGTGAATTGATTCAGAAAAAGGCGCTAATGAAGAATAAATACACTTTGTGCGGTCTCTGACTTCCTTCTGGGTGGTACGAACGCCTCGACAAGATGAATATACCCATCATCCTTTGGCGATGGGTATAAAAATGAAACGAACGCATGCAAAAATTGTGTAGAACGTAGTGGGGAATATTTTAAAAACGAATCAAGCAATTTTTAATGGCACTGTCCATAGTAGTAAAAAGAGCGACGCAAATATAACGCTAATTTTAGGAAAAAGGCATTCACTTTAAGGTATCAGACTTTGCAAATGATGGGCTTTTTAATTCATTATCTCTATCGAAAAAATTCAGTAAAGTACCATAGCGTGTTGTTTGGTTAAGAAATACTTCAACATGGCATTAATAGTTGTTAGTGTAAGTAATAGCAGTGGTAGACGTGCCATGTATGTAGTGGATGGTGTAACGTTTAAGTATTGTAACTTAAATAGCCTTTATAGTCTGTATAAACCTTAAGCTCAAGTTGCTATGGAAAATATTTTGTCTTTATATTTGACCAAATATTTACCGTTCACCGCGCATATAAGCACAGCAGTCTTTAGAATATATTACTTATAGGGAGAGGAGCGAAAAAAGAGAATGTGAAACTTGCCCATGTTCGGTTTAAAAGTGAAAATACCCTGAACGGGGCAAAAGACAACCGCAGAATGCTTGTTCCAAAGAAGATGACTTTGGTGCAAAGAGTTGCACAAGAATGTGCAAAGGTGTCGTGGAGTACACAAGCAACTTCAGGACGAGGGTCATGTGAAATTTTATAAGAACAACTTATTTTGTGCCTTCATTTCTGTAACGAATTCTTTGTAAATAAACTAAAGAAAACTATAAACAAAAAGCGAATTCATTTCTAAAATAATGATCAATCAAATTTGTCTTCGAGGTTGACAGAGATTAAAACTACAGTTAACGGAAAATTAATGAATAACTAATGCGCCCTTAGGTTTTTAATATACGCAATAATATTAAATTAATTGGTTAGCTGGACTAATCTGAAGCTTAACCAGCAGGCGCAGGAGTCCTTACTTATGAACAGTTTCTTAAATTTATAAAATATGTGAAACTATAAAAAAAACGTTTGTGTGAAACTATAAAAAAACGTTTGTGGAGAAGTAGCATAACAAATTGAATCGAACTTAAGGTTGAAAACGTAACAGAAAAATAAAAAAGAAATGAAGCAATTGAGATGTGTTCGCTAACTAATCGAGAAGATTGCATTTTTTCCTTCTTATATCCGTCACTGAAGAGTAGCGGTACATTCGTCTTGTCAAAACTTTTGAAAAAGCTACCTTTATTATTTGCTATAAAAGTCAGTAAGTCAAGTTAGTGTTCACGTTATGTAATATACAAAAAATAAAAAAATAAATAAAAATAAACTACGACTGTCAAAGTAAAAAAGATCACAGAACATGCAAACTTTATAATCGATAATAAGCAGGAGATATTTTATGAAAAAAATTAATAAAAAGAAACTAAAATCTTTGTGCAGTTATTTCGTCTATTTTTGCTACACAATAAAGAAGAAACCAAAATAAAGACCATTTTCTAATAAAGAATAAAAATTTAATAAACGGCATACAAAATCTCTGTTTACTTAGCCCAAGAATAGGGAACATCGAGGCGATGTATATAAAAAGGCAATTTACCAAAATATAAGTTGGGAATGTAAATTGATCAAAAGATATAAGCCTTTCAAAACTGCGCATAATGGACTTGACAGGCGGCGCAATCAGTCCAACATTATTCTATCGGGGTTGCTTATTTAATCTCATAACTTTTTCGACTATGTTGACAACATTACTGACTTCTTTCAAACAGACATCCGTTTTGTACCAGGCTGTGTAAGACGAAGGACATAATTTTTGAGTAATTACCAAAAACTCTCAAGTTTTCGTTTACAAAAACGGAGTGATGATCAGTTCACACTTCCCTGTGGACTTGTGCTCTAATAAATTTGCCATTTAAGGTTGATATCTTTTTTTTTGCGTTTAGGAAAGTGCCAAGACATTCCACACTGCACGCATCACACACCGCATAAATAAACAGACACGCAGACACGGAGACGGGCGAGCAAGGCCTAATCGATTTACATTTTCTTATTAAGAATATATGTACTTTATATGGTCTCTAAAGATTCATTTTGGGTGTTCCAAACATTAGAGAGAACGTAAAATTGAGAACTCGTTAAGAGGAACAAAAACTCAATTTTTCGAATTTTTCGACAATACTCTGTATACTCTATATAACAGAACGTCGATATTCTACATTGGTATGAGAACTTTAGAAAGTTTTGGAAAATTTGATCTCATAAGTCCGTATATTAACTTGTTAATATTTAATTTTGTCAACAATTGCAATCTTAACCTCATTCACTTTCTTTCTCATTCATTGCTCAGTATTTCACTGATTCGCACAAGTTGGAAGACGACGATTCGTTCACAGATTTAGGCGTTCTATTTGACCATAGATTACGTTTTACCTTCCATATTGAGTTCTCGTTAAGCAAAACTAGGTCCGCGCTTGGTTTTATAAAGAGGTGGTTCAAAGAGCTTGATGATCCGTATATTACAAAAAGTCTGCGCGTGTATTTGGTTAGAC